CAATAAAATTAAGACTTACTTTGTTTTAAAAAGAATTTGATATGAAGACTCTACATAAAACTTGTTGTTGATGCTCTAAAAACTTTAAAGCTCAAATAACTGAATTTAAAGGGGAAAATGAGTTTAATGAGATGAAAAATACAATTATACTCATTATTATAGTATCTATTTGAGTGGAAAAATACCACTACCCTCTATGTTTTAGGTTACAAACATAAATATTGTTCATAAAATTACTTATTGTATACTTGCATAAAATTACTATTACCTATTATTAGTTTTATTTTCTCTCTCATTTGTCTATAATTCTATATTTCTTTTCACTCTTGAAAAGTACTTAATCTTTTCAAAAGTTTGTCAAATAATTTCTCCATAAATAATAAGGAGAAATTTTCTTGTCTCACACTTTATCTTATTCCATTAATTTACATGTCATATTTGGCCAAAATGTTATAAATTTTTTAATTAAATTTATTCTGTTTTGTTAATCATAAATATTTTGCCAAATAAAATTGGCACAAATTATTTTAGTTTAGCACTTCACAACATAAGCATTTTACTTCTTTACAAAACAATGTGAACAATCTTTCATTTTTAATTTATGTAAAATCATTATTCATCTCCTTGACCCATGCTACTAAATTTTATCAAGTTAACAACATTGAAATAAAATTATCCATATTTTTAAAGTTTTTATACATTTTTTAAAGGGGTCCACTTACTCAAAGAGTAAGTGGAAAAGACTTACTCCACATATTAGTCATCCAATCTTGGAAAATTCAATGATTTATATGTACTCACCAATTCAAACCGTTGGATTTCTCAGGAATGAATTATCATGATGTGGAGTAGGTTTTTCCCACTTACTCTTGGAGTAAGTGGATCCCTCCCTTTTTTAAATTGATACAAGTATTCAATAGGTATCCGAATTCACTTACAATATTGACTAAGTATCAAAGATATATTAATTTAATAACTATGATATTAGAATTGGATGAATGCTATATATGCATAGGAGGTGGTGATACTTTATAAAATACTACATAAGTACCAATTTTACCATTATATCCAAATATAAATATAGGATAAAAACATTAGGACTCATCATATAAGAAAATACGTGTTAATCTTATCATATAAAAAAAATTAATTTGACTTTATCACATGTCAAGTTACTTTCCCACATTAACAAGGTCAGAAGAATGTGTGTGTACCCTTAGAATTTGAAGAAATCAAAATGTCTACAAAAGTCTAGAACCAAAATCTTTGAAAGAATAGAACATATATTTTCATTTATTATATTAAACATATTAAAATTATACATGGGTCTCTCTAGAAAATTATAAGTTGACTTTAATTTTATAAACTAGTCTAGGCAGAAAAAATTGCATGTAATTTGTGCAATTTGGACAAAAGTCTTTGGGGCTCTCTAATTCTCCATAAATCTGACATGTTAAATATTAGATTATAAAATATCTCTTCATACCAAGAGTTAATTTATCTTTTCAGTCAGTAAAAGAATGACATGTGTATTGTTTGTTTAGTTTTAGAAATATTTGTGTAGAAATTGATTAAATGATACACATGTCACAATTTTAGTGGCTAAATGAGATAACTTATCTTCTTGTACTAAGAGATATATTATATATATGAAGAAGACTTTATAATCCTAATGAACCTTTTCATTAAGGTTAGTCACTGTTCAATCCTTGTGTTTTAGACTTGAAATTTAGTTTTCTTGGCCCCAATCTTTATATAGACCGGAGAACAAAAGTACTTGATTTTATTTATATTTTTAGTGATAAAAATGTTATTCCATTATATATAAAATGATAAAAATATCTTATATTTGTTCCTTTGTTTTTTTTGATACTTGTGTCTCTATTAATAGAGAATATCCTTACTCTAGACTCTACCATACATGAGATGAGTTACAAAATTTATAAATAATAAGATTGTTATTATTATCTTGAAATTTTAGTTTAAAGTAAGATGATTCATTTATACAATACTATTTTTCAAGGATGAAACTCTATTATTGATTATAGTATGAGTCATAACAAAAACATGCATTGACTTTGATAAATTTAGAATAGTACTTAATGGGTTAGAAGTTCAAGCTTTTTCAAAATGGAAAACTTTTCAATCAAAATCTCAATCTTTGATTGCTATATACGTAACACCCTATGCTTAATTAATGTAAATAATTAAGCATATGTAGATTGATTATATAAAATTTCAAATAGTTTATTCGTAGAGTGAGGTTGGATTGTGAATATTTATTAATGATAATAAAAATCAAAATTATGACTTTTCTCATTAGTACATAAATATGTCATAACATCTTTGCTTCTAACATTAGAAATCAAATAAATAAAAGAAAATATATGTAAAGACATCCATGTCAGTAAATAACACCACTGCCAATGTATCATTATGGACTTTGTCCCTCTGTCCTCATCCAATAAAAATTCACTAAATAATATAAAATATTATTTTATATTTTTATAATTTTTAATTATAATTAAATAAGACAATGTGATTTATCTGGGACACCATTTAGAACACCAAATAGGACAACAAATCCCGGTTCCATTTTTTGTGCTATGAAACCCAAAGAGCTTCTAGAAAAGTGAAATAACAATGCAATCTATATTTTTCAACAAAGGAAAAATATAAAAAGTTTATTGGACAAGAAGACAACATAAAAGAGTGACTTTGTTTGCATGGAGTTAGGATCCGTTCCATTAATTGAGAGACAATTGTTTTAAAAATTAAAAAGAAAATATAACATTTAAAGACATATATTATGAATGAGTTAATTCTCAATATTTTTTTTGATAGAAGGGAATATAAGTGTGTATCACGAGAAAAGATGTTTATATTTATAGTGTAAGAGATTTTAAAATATTATATTATTTATCATTCATATTTAATTATTATCAATTTTTAAATATAAATAATATAAATTAATGATATATGATTTATGTAACACCGTAAATTTTCTACGCATGTTATTTTAATTATTTATTTTATCAACGATTAATTGTAGAAATTAATCAGTGTGGATTTAGGCTAAGCCATAGTTGAATATTAGTCTTGTTTTGTGATTTCCTATTTTGTGGTAAATTTTCGTAATTTTCTGTGACGAAATATTTTTGAACCGTCGGCGGGCCCAAATAGCCCGAATTCGGCCCAATAACGTGTTTTTGAGTTCTGTAACTCGAAATCGAATTACGATTGCGCCATTGCCTTCGAAATATTATTTCGAGTCAAGATAGACATCAAGTTCATTCAGAACGCATTTTTAAATATTTTCACTCCAAATTCTGTGTTTCGAAGTTCTAACCGTAAACCAAAATCGGGAGATTGTATATTTCCGGACGAAATTATCCGAAGATGTTCGGACACGACATTTATTGGGAAATTACATCATATCAATAATGTTGGAAGTCATCATTTCATGAGTCACTTACTTGTTACACAAGTAATGCAAAAGCTTCCAAAAAAAACCCTAAAACACTCACCTATGCTAGTCTAAAGCTACTTAATTTGCATTAAATTTTCTGATTTGATGAGGGTGAGACTCTCCTATAAATACCTCACCTCATTCTCTCATTTTTACACTAAATTTCTTATACAAACTAAGGTAGTCTTTTATTTTATCTTCTTCATCTTCTTCTCATACTTCATAGAAAATTATGAGCTTTTATTATTTTGTTCATAAAGTAGAGTTTATATTTGTTCTTTAAGTATTTTATGAAAGCATAACTAAAGGGGATGATAATAAAATCATATGAACCTTTATGTAGTTTTTGACTTTTGTAAATCTTGAAATTTCTTCCTTGTTCTTAGATGGAAAAACTATATATTTGGTCAAGGTTAGATGAGTTATTTATTTGGAAATATTAGAAATTATTGTTAGTATTTGAATATGTTTAAAGGTGATGATTTTAACATCAAAAGAACCTTTAATGTGTTTAGGAAAAAGTTTGTATTTTATTCTTGAAAGTTTATGATGTTGATGAGTTGTTGAAAATATTTCATTTTTAGAAAGTATTATGTTTTAAAAGTGGTTTAACATATTTTACTCTTTGATTCCCAAGTTTAAATAATGATTTGGGATAAAAGATGATTTATTAAAGTTTTGACTTCATAAACTTAAAAGTGCTACGAAGTTTTAGATATTAAAGTAGTAGAAAGTCTTTTACCTTAGGATTTATTTTCATGACTATGAAAATAACACTTACTAACCCTTGAGGTTTTTTCCTAAAAAATTAGGAGGTGTTAAGATGTTCATGAAAATTTGTTTTAGTAATATACTTGAAATAATGAGAGTTACCTAAAAGTCTTGACTTTATAAACTTAAAGTGTTATGAAGTCTTAGATGGTAAAATGATTTAAAAATGTTGAATCTTAGTTAAGTGAACTTACTTTAAAATGATAAGAGTTACTTAAAAAGTATTGATTTAAAAATATTGATTTTGTTTAAATTGACTTACTTTAAAAATGATAAGTCTAGCTTAATGATCTTAATTTAAAAAGGTTAGTTTTAGTAAAAATGTTTTACTTACAAAAAAATAAAATTTATGAATTATCGGAAAAATGCAATGAAGTGAGAATACATGTCTAGAAAGGTTCTGTCTAAGGAAAGACTTGATATTTAAGGGTGTCTTTATGACCCACCTCTCTTTCCTGGAACTAGCCTGGTGTATATCCACGGATTACGACATAATTTCGGTATAAGTTTTATTGAAAATTTTACTTTAAAAAGTATTATTTGATTGTAAGACTTTCGATGACAAATGATGATTCAAGGATATTCAACCTTGAATTGGATGGACGAAAGCAATTAAATTCATTTTAAATCGGAAGTTTTATCTTCGCGTAAAAAGTTATTTCGTAAATATAATAATTATCGTCATTTAACTAATTAACGTTATTTTGGCATAAAGAAGAGTTCGAGAGGAGAACGGATCAAATAAGCTCACCTGCAAACAGAGAACCTAACGACCCGACACACTCAGGTGAGGGAGAAAACATCGTGACACAATGGTGTCCGAATATGCATCAGGACCTCCAAACTCCCTCACAAGTTTGGAGTTGCCATGGGTATTAAGAAAGCTTGTACTTAATCAATTGCATGTTTGTTTGGATTAAGTAAAACAATATTTCTTATACCGATTTATGTTATGTGCAAATACCATGTTTACTCTTGAATTATAATGTTTGAATGATTATTATGGGAATGATATGTATGTGATAATTTTGAAATTCAAGGTTTAAAAACATTTGATATAAATGAGAAATATTTTCCTTGATAAAAATAATTAAAATGATATTTAGGTTCTTCTCGCTTGGCGAGACAACTCTCAATTGAGCGAGAAGTGTCTAGAGAAAACGAGTGTTTTAGCTCGGGGCGAGACAGCTCTCGCTTGAGCTAAAATAGGCACCAAGAGAATTGATTTTTTCTCGCTTAAGCGAGACAGCTCTCGCTTAAGCCACAAATGCCTCAAAAAAAAATGGGCGTGCCCTCGCTTGAGCAAGACAGCTCTCGCTTGAGCGAGCGGGCTCCATACAGACATGACTTCTTTTTAAGTCGTCTGAATGATAACTCTCATATATACGAGAGCCTACTGGCATGTTTGCCATCAAGAATTTGTAAAGGTAAATAACTATATGAAATTCTTGAAAGTAATAAAAGTAAGGATTTGATTTGTTAAAGGCGAGGCCGAGGGTGTGATATTATGCTCACGCAGCGAGATTGTTTGACCGTAAGAGGCTTGGTTAGAGGAGTCGTCCAAGATAATGCAGCGATGGTTCGTAGTGGTGCCGAAATTATTCTCTCTTTTTGTTATATGTGTTAAGATCGGGACCCACTAGAAGCATTCTTTTGGGAGATGTCTTAGGTTGGGCCGATCATTTAAAAGAACGATTAAAAGATTTAATTAGCTAACCTCGGTTAGTGTGCATACTCATTATGAATAATGAAGTGGTGGAGAGGAAATTTACGGGAGACGAACGAGCCCCGAGATGTTGAGAGGGACGGTGATGGCGGTGATTCGTCAGCAAAGTCTTGAGGGTGAGTCTAGGTAAGACGAGTCCCTTGTATTCCTGGATGAGGTATTCTGTTGGTTCGGACAGTTCTCACAGCGCAAAGTAGACGATCTCTAACAACCCCTCTTTGCAATCAGGATCGACGAGAGGGATGCCTAGAAAGTGTTTGATACGACACCGTCCTGAAATGGACAGTTCTTTGGTACAGATCGATCGTATATCCTTGTGAGGAATATTTTGGTGCGTTCAAATCGGCTTGTTATGGGACCTGTACTCTCGGTTATTTCCGAATAGTTATTGGGAGGATAAAGGAGTAAGGATGGTGGACTCATGCATCGCATTGCACACATGATATTCTTCGATATTGATTCTAAATCCTCGAGTTTTATATTTCATTCATTGTTTTTATATGCTTGTATAATCACATGATATATATGTACTCATGTGTTGTCTTGGTGTATTATTATGTGTAATTCCACGACGTCAATGATAAGTTTTTCATTAGATGTTTTACTCTCTCTCTTCTTTCTATTTGTCTTCTATTCGCGTTTTGTTCAGATGGATCGTTCGATCGGGATTCAGAGTTACCACTTTTCGATGTCCCAGGAGGGGGCATGGAGGATTGAGGGAATCTGTTATACCTACACAGACCCTTGTACTTTTTGATTAGTGTACTTGTGTAGGGAATTTATTTTGTACTAGTTTTTATTTGGGTGACGATTAGGATTTCGCCTTGTACTTGTACCAACATTTTCTAATGAAGTATGATTCAAAGTTATATTGAGTTTTTCTAGTTACCATTAAGTAATGGTTGTGATTTTCCGCATTGTATGTTACTTAAGTGATGTTCCGAAAATGAAACGAATATAAGGACATAAATTTTATATGGCTCCATTATTAAAAAAAAAATTTTTTTTACCCATTTTCGAGAAAGATTATTGTAGTAATTTTCGGGGCGTTACAATTTATTAACTATATATAAATCTTTATACTCATAATTCATACATAAATATTACAATGTAAGCTTAAACTATTTGATTTAGTTCAATTTTTTTAAGATTAGATTTATCTATAATTAAATATGTTATGAGTACAACATTTCAATTTATAATCCATTTATGTTTTAAGACTAAAAAATGATTAATCTTAGTGGTTCGGATTATATATAAATATTTTTCTTACAAAGTATATTAGAAAAAAGTATGAAGTTGTTTATGTTACCGTTATCTTTGGGTTGTTCTTTACGCAATCTTAGATATTATTTTTCTAAAACCATCATAGAGATATAATAGAAAATCAGAAATAAAATAATTTTCAAAGGAAAAAGTAATTCATATTTTAAAATGAATGAGAATGAAACATTTCTTCACATATCCCAAAGCCAAGAAGTTTCTTCACGATACAACTAGCATTTATAAATGTGAAATTTTAAAGAAAAGATGAACAAAACCTGACATGTGCAATATGGAAGAATTAAAAAAAGAAAGAACCAGATTTGAAATGATTTGGCCATTGATTGAGGAATAATGATCCTTTAGATATGTAATCGAGTTAATTATACTGTTTCATGACTTTTAATGAAATTACATAGATCATTTTTCCATTTTTACTCCTACAAAAACCATTGATTTTTGTATATATATTACACTAACTACTCATGTATCTGAAATAAGTTTGATTTTTTACATAAAAATGATGATAAATGTAATGAAGTTAAATAAAATATAATATATTATACAGAAAAGTCAAAATAGTATATGAGTCAATACATTTTTTTTGTTCATTACAAAATGCATCAATGATTGTAAGGAAATATTATTTAAACTACTTTTATACAATATTATAACGAACAAAAAATAATAAAAATGTGTTGACTCATATATTATTTGGACTTATTTTCACACTATATCATATTTCGTTTAACTTAATTACATTTATCATTTTTTTATTTAAAAGATCTTTGATATAATCACACTCTTGATTGATGGGAATTATGGAAAATTAAGGGTCTAAGACAAAAATATTCTCAAGCCAAAAAAACAACCGTCCTAAATGTTTGTCGGTGATGGTCTTGACTTTTTATTCAAAAAACATATTTTTTTTATAATTGAAGCTTATTTTTAAATAAAACAATGATTAACAAATAAGATTATTTATGCAAAAATAAGCTGAAAAAGCATTTAAGAAGCTTTTAAGTCAATCTGTTATTTGACTCAAAAACAAGCTCGTAAATCTGGTTTTGCATGAGGAATTTTTGAGAGAAGTTAAAGTTTATAAGTTTTTATTTATTTGATAAGTCAATTCAATTTAAAATGAATATACACAAATTTGTAAAAAATCGCATGTAACAATTTGATTTCCGAAAAAATAAAAACTCAAATTAGTACTCAAATATCGTAAATGTGATTCAATATAATTCATACCAGAAAATCATTAAAAAAATACTAAAAGGTAATGATTTGATATTTTTATTGACAATTTTAGGTTTTTAAATTTTTTAGGGATCAAATTGATACACAAAATTTTTGACAGATCGAGATAGTTCTTTTCACTTGAGTTTCTAAATGTCTCACAAGTTTCTTTACGTTATTATACATTTGAAAGCGTTTAAAGTTACTTTTATCAAACATTCCTAGTTCAATAGTTTAGACTTTAGTTAAAATTTCAACCTTTTCAACTAAGGTTTGAACTCAATCACTATACCTTATGTCTCGGACCTTAACAAATGGGAAGATTCTATGTGTTAGGTTCAGTTAATGTCATTATCTACTTTTATTCAATGTTTTAAAAATCGTGCCGTACCGGCCGGTTTAACTGGAAAACTGGTGAACCGGACCCCTAACCGGTACGGTACGTATGTTATACCGCATATGCAATAGAACCGGTCAAAACTGGTGAAAACCGGTAAACCGGTTTAAACCGGTCGGTTTGTACATTATTTTTTTTTAATTTCAAAACTTCAATTCTTCACCAATTCTTCAACTTCAATGATTGATACTTGAGTCATTTATTTGTATTTTGTGTTTGTTAAGTGATAATTTTGGATAAATATATGTTTTGTACTTTAGACTTTGATTTTATTAAAGACTTAATGTTGTTTGTTTGTGTGAATTTGAAGTAAATTATGAATATGGATTATAAATATGAATATCTACTTATTTGAAATTTTTTGTTATAGGTTTATATATATATATATATATAAACAAGTATGTCCGGTTTAACCGACATGCGGTTTAATTACTGAACCACTGGTTGAACCACTGTACCACTATACCAGTACCCTAACCAGTTTGATAACCGGTACGGTTTTAATAACATTGCTTTTATTCCCTCTCCAAATTTAAGGCTTGAATCCCAAAATTTGTATTAACTTAATGAAGACAATAAAGGTAGTAGTGATAGAAAAAATCATCTCCACACGGATCTAACACATCCTCTTGTTCTTGACATTGATGGATAGACTAAAACCCAAAATTGGTATTGAACCAAATTGAAGAAAAAAATAAAGATAAGAGACCAATCACCACTATTTTTCCTTTGATGTGTGATTAGCATATTGGGTTGGGTTAACAATAGGCATGAGTAGACATGGGTAGTAGTTACTCGCTACTCGTTTTATGTATGGGAAGTTATTGAATGGTTACGTGCTTGCGGGTTTTAGTGAGTGTGTGGGAGTATATGTTAGGTTTTTTAAATTTTGAATTTTTTTATGAGGATTGCTTTTGGACATTTTGTAAATCGCCTACTTGTTAGTCGAATAAAAACTACAGTGTTATTAATATTGTACCGATGATCAAACCGATAGGGGTATTGGTATTGTGTAATAGCGGTTCAACTAGTGATTTACTAATTAAACCACATACTGATGAAGTTAGATATACATATATAATATATTAAAATTAATGTTGAAAATTTAATAAAAAACAATAATTATTTTTATTTTCATTAAAAAAATAAATTTAAATAAAAATTGTTCGGTTTGACCGGTACGGTTCAATTGAAAATCGATCGGTATAACCGGTTTTGACCGGCATAATTGCATGAATGGTATAATTATTGTACCGTTCCGGTTTTGGGATAGGTTCACCGGTTTATCGGTTGAACCAGTCAGGACCAACCGTTTTTTACAACTATAAAAGACAATAAAAACAACATTATTTGAATAAAGTGTGCAATATGTATTACCAAATTAATTCATACAAATTTATAAATTCAAATTCAACAAGATACTAGAGTATTCGTGGACACGAGAACCACCATGGATGTTGACCAATATATATCATAGATAGTTTGAAGAACTCATTTCTAAAACTTGTAATTACCAGTGTGAGCTTTCCGACAGATATCCTTGGTTCATGATTTTTTTATCATCTTTAATATTGGGGAGATTTTTTATTTTACTAAAATATTTTGCTTATTTTTTCAATTTCTAGGCCCGGGGTGAGATAAATTAAGGGTACCTAATAAAAAACCTATTTTTTAATTAAGAACAATAATTTAATAAAAAATAAGGGTAATTGTATTCACAAAAATCTAATCCATTGCATTTTTTTGGTACAACAAAAAATCTAATCCATTGCATTTGCTCTTTGAATAAAATTCCAAAATGAATTTGCTATATAGATGGACCCACACATTTGTGATTATTGAAATGGGAATAATAGAAAAAGAAAAGAACAAGCAATTGCTCCAATAATAAATCATGAAAAGATGTGGATATGGATGACATTTAACTTACAATCCAAAATATATACACTCAAGGTTTGTCCTATTTGTATATCAAGTGAGAGACCAATGGGGCACACAATAAAGATATAGAGGATAAGATAGAGGCATGTTATCCCTCATTATGGGCCCTACCTACACTTGTCTTCAACCTTATTTTAGTTAAAATACTGAGATTACGAGAAATGAAAACAATTAATATCATTATAAATGAATTTTATTTTAATGATTAAGATTAAAAGAAATGATTATATGATGATGACTAATAACTAACTTTTGATCATAATTATATATAACTCAATAAAAAAATGAAATTCGGACTTTGAATTCATTTGGGGATATTAACTCCTTATGAATATCAATTGTTCTTATTATTCCTACTTCATAACCTTTACATCTTATTTCCAACTTGCATAAATTTACGCACTAAGGGCTAAGAACCATTTTAAGACAATACGTTGTAAAGATTTTGGTTCCTAATTCCCTAGGTGAAAATGAATCTTCAAATTAAATGTTAGATTTGTTTTAATATTTCTGAATCTGGGCTCCTGCGTTGAGTGTACATTTACTCGACCCTGATCATTTGACTAGATTCTATCATGCTTGACGTGGCTTCCACGCTCAGCGCAACTTGTGCTAAGCACAATGGAGCTGAATTGAGGATTTTGCATCCTTAGCCCATTTTAGGCTCAATTTGTTTTCCCCCGGCTTGAAGCACATATAGAGACTTGAAAAATAGGATAAATACAATTTATTATCAAATTCTCAATTATAATTACATAAAATAAGTATTTAGAGTAAATAAGTGATATAATACTATTATGAATTAAGATAATTTTAACACTTAACAAATTGACACAACATGTTGAAACAAATGATCTAAATTTTTATTCAAGGGTTAGATTGAGTATTATGTAATCTTTTTATGTGATTGAATTTGAGTACATTTATACTAATAAATTTTCAGTTTACTTATAAGAAGAAGGAAAGTGTGACGTCATGATTTTCATTGGTAGCACATTACACGAATTCCTAATTACCAATGAAACTATTTCGCACTAAAAAAATGACGGGTACGGACAGACGCAGTTAGTGCATACCCGTATCTATACTCACATTA